TTGGGATCAAGGATCGCCTGTCCGATCGGCAAGCAGTGGTTAAAACTTCACACCTCTCAAGTGCTATCCTGCCTGATAATGACATGCGTCAGTCTTACTCCAATTCAATTACCACCAGTTCTTGGCTTTCATAGGACCACCGTTTGACCTATTAAAAACAGAAACGTCTGAATATCTCCTTTGCTTCCACCCTTAGCCCCACCCATCAGTGTAACAAGCACAGTCAACTAATGCCACCCCTCACTGCCATCATGTAACAACGATTCGAGGAACTCTTTTCTCGGCTGGCCGTACGATCAGGGCGGCAGGCATTGGTCAATCTAATTTCACACCTCTGGCTTCTGGCTACACAGGAAAGTTTCCGTAGTGGCTAGCTACTCGAGCACTTTCACGGGCAGTGGTGAGATTTCACACACCCACACTACCCTGACCATCTGCATCACCCAGGGCTCACATGATGGGGTAACATCCACCCTCAAATTGCACCCCAACTCCCTTTCCTCGCCCAGCGGCATGGCCGTGGCGCTTTTGGAAGGGAGCGGATTTGTCTTTCCGTTTCCGCGTTGGACAGATTTCCGTTTTACACAGGTAATTAACGAGGAATATATCATGGGGGGAGCGGGGAGATTCCGTTAAGAAAGGTTTCCGTGTTATACAGGTTTCCATTAAGGCAGGTTAGAGAGAGAGAGAGAGAGAGAGAGAGAGAGAGAGATTTCAACATGAAGTAAAGGACAACCTTGACAGACAGCCCTGATTTTTTAAAAATATCCGACCAAAAAGACAGCTCAATGAATGTTTCAAAATTTGTTTTGCTCTGGTTACCAATGCGTACTGCAAAGCTAATCCTAAATGGGTAAAACCAGCATGTGCAGCACGGACATCCTCGGAGAATTTTAGCGAAATTTGCTGTCTTTCATAGACTTGTGTGCAACACCACGGACATAGGCCTACCTCAGTTTAAATTCTGGTGCACGTCGTAAGCTGGCGTAAGGACTCGAAATGTGCTCACTTTGGTGGCAATATAAGCCGCCGTTTGCGCAAAATCCAGTATCGCATCAACATGCCAACGAGACGAAAGCTGAGAGACTTTGATCGTGCAAGAAGTATGGCATGGCTGCAGGATGGAGTTGGAGCCCAAAAAGTTGCCAGAAGGCTTGCAGTGTCACACTCTGCCATTGTCCGCTTGAGGCAGCCCCATCAAGCCTCTGGATCAGTCCAAGAACGCCCACGTGCAGGTCGACCCAAGAAGATGTACACAGTCAAACCTGCCTTGGGGCAAACCTATGTAAGACTGAAACCTGTCTGAACGGAATCTCCCTGCTCCGCTCTTGACAAATTCCTATTTAATTACTTAATTACCGTATAAAACGGAAACTTGTCCAACGCGAAAACGGAAAGAAAAATCCGCTCTCTTCCGAGGATTTTACCTGTCTATTAAGACGGAAAACGCCCTGATTCGAAATAAAACTCGAAAGTTTGGTTCCGCCGGCTCTAAACTTATAACGCCATGCCGCCATGCGAGGAAGGACAAAGTAGAGGTGCAATTTAGGGGTATAGATGTTACCCCATCTATGTGAACTGTGAACCCTTTGCGATGCAGATGGTTAGGGTGGTGTGGGTATGAAATCTCTATCTTATCTCACGAGTGCCAGTGAAAGTGCTCGAGTGGCACTCCAGCACGGAAACTTTCATTGGTAGCCAGAGGCTACTGGTGTGAAATTAGTTTGACCAATGCCTGCTGCCCTTATCGTACGGCCAGTTGAGAAAAGAGTTCCTCAAATCCTTCCTCAAATCGTTGTTACATGCCAGTGAGGGGTGGCATTGGTTGACTGTGTTTATGACATCGATGGGTGGGGCTAAGGGTGGAAGCAAAGGAGATGTTCAAATTAATGTTTCTGTTTTCAATAGGTCAATCAGAGGTCTTGAAAAATGCAAGCATTGGTGGCAATGGATAAGTAAGACTGACGCATGTCAATATCTGAGAGGATAGCACTTGAGAGGTGTGAAGTTTTGACCACAGCTTGCCGACCGGACAAAGCGACC